ATGCATCGACAGATTTCACCTAAAATCAAGTATCCCTCTCGAACCCTTTCTGTAGTATACAAGTATCGTTCATGGATTGCGATTAGAGTAAGGGAAAAGAAGTCCAAGGCACTAGTAAACCTGGCACTCTGAACAGCGCTCCCTCAACTCTTTCTCTCCCAGTAGTAATAAAGTGATACATTGTTGTGGTACACACAGGAAGGGGCATAAATATGGCGACAATTGAGCTTTAAGAAGAGCAATTGCGCGGAGCTCCGTAGTCCTTTGCTTACACCCACGGTAAGTAAACAAATAAACGAATGATTCTGTGGTTCACCTTCATGCAAAACAAGAAGGTCTGGTCCAATAAAGCTAACAAATATGTGAGCGACCACAATGAATAAGTTATTAATCACTGTTCATTTGAATATTTTTGAATGTTGCTGAAATTGATATCCCGTCTCCACTTTTCTGCTTGAAACTGGACAGCAGTTATTTTGTCAGCACATTGTGCCCCAGCCCCTATACGCTCCACTGGAATTGAAGGCTCAACTTACCATATTATTCAAAGAACCATCCTGAAGAAACTTTTTGCCCCACACTTAAGGGCAATATGTTTCATGTGCGTGACTTTGAAGCTCTCTATTTATGGGTACCATTTCTCGTACCCACCCACCCAATCTATTCGTAAGCTATTTGAACTGACGTCATTGAAAGCCAATCCACTTGCAACAAATTCCTACGCATTCCGCCAAAAAGTGAAGCCAAACACATACCGGTGAAATAGGGTTGGAACTAGCCGATAGTCCTATAGATTTCCTAGGACTTTTTCGGAATCCTTGTAGGATTCTCGCATAGACGACGAGCTTTCGCAGGTCTTCGCTTGACTGGACTATTCTCCTCCGCATCAAGATTCGGTCGCTTCAGACGAACTCCACCTTTCCGCGGAGGTGCCGGCTCTTCAACATTGCTGGGACTCGGGAGACATTCCTCTGAAACAAATTTAGAGAAAAACATTGAAGAAATAATTGTTTGTGGACCTCTCTGGGATGCGCCACGCATTCAAAACGAGGCAAAAGTGTAAAAATATTCAGATGACCCGATGCTTCACCCAATGCCTTGCGAACAAAAATCGACTACTGAAGTAGCACTTCTACCTTAGGTCTAACCTAAGCCCTCTACTAATTATTCAGCCGTAGACTGCACGCCCTCGCCAACGCTGACAGATTTCGAGCAACCCCGACACGCTGTGTTTTCACCTCCGTAAAAAATAACAAGCTATGTGGATAGTAATCCCAGAGGTAATTTCCTGTTCTTCAGAAATCAAGAACGCGCTCGCATGACGTTCAGCCAGTACACTCACACGCACTTATT